CCACTGAGGAGTTCGACATGCTCCACGACCGCAAGGTCATCAAGAAGTACGGCCTGGACGAGGACTGGCAAAGTGTATCAACTGCATAAGAGGGCCTGGGGAATCATTCTTGAAGGAAAGTATTAACATCAAGCTAGCACGGACACCGAAGCCTCTGACATCCCAACTTCCCAATCCCTGGGCCATTGACTCTAGCACACGGACAATTATTACCTTTCTGACGGAATCAAATGGAAAAGCAATTGCCCTAAGGGTCCAAGTACCCAATAATCATATACTCGTACTTACCCAAAACCTGTCCTATAATTAGTATTACCCAAATCCCACGTACCTAATTATTGGGTACATGAACACTCTGGGAAAGAAACCCTAAACCCTAAACCAAATGAGATGGAAGTTGGGATGCTTGTAGGGATGCTAGAGCTACTGGTGCGCCCCCCGTCCCCAAACAGATCGTTTATCCAGTTAACGCAACTGAGCAGTGGGGTGACTGTTGGGTAGAGTGGCCCTGAACCGCAACTACACTTTTAAAAAAGCCATAAATTTTGAACTCCATTCTTCTGACGCTTAACTCTACACCCTAAGGTCCCAAATTCAAATTGTAAACACTAGATCATCAACTTTACGCCTTAAACTCGAACTTTAGAATCCGCATCCCTCAACTCTAAGCCAAAAGAATCTAAGTCATAGGAGTCCTATTGGTTTGGTAGATGGCTTGAAGGATCCCAGTTATTGTTGTTATTCTTATTAGGTTTTATCGTTATCATTGGTGTTAATACTACAGGTATTATTGTCGTTATCGTGGGTATTGTTATTATTGTTTTTATTACTGTTATTACTGTTGCTGCTGTTCGTATTGTTTTATTATTGTTCTTATTGTTAACAGTGTTGTTATTTTTGCTTTTGTTGTTATTGTTATTATTTTTTGGGAACATTCCGGTATGTTTTCTGGTTATTTTAGTGCCTATAAGCTATAAGGGGCTACACATAACATGGGAGCTTTGCAACATCTACAAATACATGGAGATTGTAACAGGACTGCTTGCGGTCCCTATTCAGGATTCTACTGGGATATTTTGTCAGCTCAACTTGGTTCAATCGTTGCACCACTGGTTTAGGGTTTGGAGGGCTTTGGGTTTAGGGTTTAGGGTTTAGGGGTTTAGGGTTTAGGGTTTAGGGTTTCCCCTCCCCCCAAAGTTGTTTCTCCACATAGCCTTAATGAAGGCGCAATATTCTCTGAGGCGTTCCGCAAAAAGTTTCCCAAACCCAGGGGCACAGCACATCCCCAAGTGTTTAATCCCACAGTCACCAAGGTAGGTATAAAGAAAGGACCACGTTTCCCAACAACTTGGTATCTTTACCTTGTTTAACCCTAGGGCTTCCAGTAACCCAAGTAGTATGTTACGGTCACTGGGCTATGTGCGTATAGGGTATCTAGAATCCAAAACCCACTATTTAGGTAACTGGAGCCTTACGGTAAGGCATAACGATAGTCTAGGTAAATCCAACCCTGAAACCGCAAATTAAGATGACTAGCTTAGGGTCCTCTTAGCCGGTCTGTAGTCCCCTTAAAGGAGGAGTTGCCAATATTGGGGTTTAGCGTTTGAGGTTTGGGGTATAGGGTTTAGTGAGTAATCCAGGGGTGGGATTACTCAGTTTACGGCGCTCTTGAGGAACCAACCCAGTGACAAAGCATCTTGCCATTCTTAAACTTAGTCCGTTGAAGGTCTCCATCATCGGAAGGGTCATGGCCTCTTGTAGGAGAGAGGTAAATTTTGGAGAATACCTATACTAGTACTAGGTGCACTTTGGGATAACTAGTAATAAAAGGTTTTGGGTGCCTTCAAAGTACCATACAGTATACTACAAGGAAAACACAGAGCCGAACAGCAAAGAATGGTCTTGAAGAGCGGTACAACAGGAGTATAGGAGGACCTTAACATAGTCATTGTTATCCCTAATAGCCACTATCACAGGGCGGGGGTCCTCCTAGATTATTTCTGAGAAATTGCATTATGGGTTTAGCGTTTAGGGCTTAGGGCTAAGGATCCCTTAGACATGGTTTTAAGGATCAAAATTGGCCCCTTCCAGGGCACCGTGGTGCTGAAGGGCACCATCAAGAAGTGAGCCGCTCACTGAAGTTGAAGCTCTTTTGAAAGTTTCTCAGAACGTGTTGCTCTTGAGGAAAGTAGGAGTATAGCGGGGTACAAGGGAATTATAGGGGTCTTAAGGACGGTTTATACAGGGTATGTTTCGAGAAGCTTCCATCAGCCTCATGCGTCTGTGAGCTTGTTCTGTGACAGGCCAGTGAGACGAGAGACAAAAGCACTTAATTGATCGCTGTTGGTGGGGAAGGGGTAGGGATGGAGGCGTAGCAGAGCAGGACAACACAACAAGCTTCCTTTCCTTTCAACATGCCAAAGATGGAGCTTCCCCACGAGGTCATTCTTCAAAGGGAACCCGGCCGCATTGTTTGGGAACGTATGCTGTTTGGGGGCAACGAGAGCTTTATTCATCGCTTGGGAGTGTGGGTAGGTCCAGTTCTTTCTATCTTCATGGCACGCATTGGCAGATTTCATGCCATTGGTATGGACTTGGCATGGTTCCTTTGCGCTGCCCTGTTGGCATGACGGAGTCTTTTACATCCTTCGAGCCTGGGGCATCATCCGAAAGACACGGTCGTCATCATAGTCAGCACTACTGCTATGCAACCGCTACCGGGTGGCGGTGGCGGCGTCGGCAGCGGTGGTGGTCTTGGTGGTGGTAGTCGTGGTCGTGGTGGTCGTGGTGGTCGTCGTGGCCGTCGTGGCCGTCGTGGCCGTCGTGGCCGGCGTGGCCGGCGTGGTCGTGGTGGAGGTCTTGGTCGCGGTCGCTGTCGTTGCCGTGGTCGTGCCGTTGGTTGCTGTAATGTGAAGGTGCTGATGCCACTCTGTGCAGCTGGTGCTCGGGCGTTTCCAGAATGCTTTTCACGCAGAATGAATGATCGCAGCATTATGGCAGACCCTTGGCTGGCTTGTGGCAAACTTGGCCCTAAGAAGTTGGAAGTAGTTGGTATCATGATGTGACCCGAGCTCCCGAGGCATCAAAAGCATAGCGCAACTAAACCTTGACTACCTTGGGGCAGCTAAGACATTAGTGCCAACATGGATGTTTTCGCAACAAGAATTCTTAAGAGAGAGCCCTGCAATGTCTTGCATCCTTAAGATCCAAAATGGTGCAATTTTCAGAATCCTCCCATGTAAGGCGATTGTTGCCCACCCAAGTTCCCCTAGACGATCCCTCAGGACCCCTCAATCCTGAACCCCCAGACATGGCCCATAATCTAAACTCCTTAAAGGGGTTATATAAGGGAGTCTATAGGGGATTACCTGTAACCCCAACTACCTACAGTTTAACAGGAATCACACCTAAGTTAGTAGGTCTAACCCCTAAAACTGTAGGTAGTTGGGCTAACAGGTAAGCCCTAAACCCCTAAATCCGCAACTCTCAGCCCAATCCGTATAAACCTGGGGCTCCTCCACTCCAAGCCCGAAACCTGTTTCTGCGCGCTAGAGTATGGTGGCTTTGCGCGAAGCTCAGCAAAGCTTGACGCAGCTTTGATTTAGCAATATTTCTTAGATAAGAGTCATGTGATAGTCAGGGGTTGGGAAACCAAAATCCCCCGATTGTGCTAATTGGGCTTGCACGCTGGAAGATTGGCTCCTCCTTCGTTTTTTTCAGGGTGAGACAGGTAGACCTTAAACCCTAAACCCTCAAACCCTAAACCTTAAACCCTGAACCCTTCAACCCTAAGCCCGAAACCCTTCAACCCTAAGCACCTAAGTCTTAGGCCCTAAACCCATTAACCTCAAGCCCTGGACCCATAAACCTTAAACCCTAAACCCATTAAGCTTCAACCTTAAACTCCCAACCCTTGAACCCTAAACCCTAAACCCTTTAACCCGAAAGAACAATCTTGCACTGGCAGAAGCAAAGCAATCCGCAAGTCAAAGTCCCCCCTATCTTGTAGTGTCCCAACAATAGTGGACCCCCTTACGTGGAGTTCCCAAAATACTATACTCCTTCTGATGGGGACTCCCGAAAAATTACGCCTAATTTTGTCAAACCCCTCATTTTCTATCATACTTCTACCGGGATATTCAATTACAGGGTTTAGGGTTTAGGGTCTAGGGCTTACGGAACTTAATCCGGATTATATCGGGATATTGCCTCCAATATTGGAGAATCAAATGGATAGGAA